GAATGGAATGAAAATCGGGAAGAATAATGAATGATTTGGATTGCCTAAGCCACCTTCCTCCTCCGCTCACCATCATCATCAGCAGCAGCACCAGCAGAACACTTTTTCTCCGTAAATATCAAAACTTCATAGTTTGTATGTATGTCTGTGTGTCTCTTCGTACCGCACTTGAATTATGGAAGTTGGGCGGGCGCCCATCCTCGAAGCAAACAACCAATCCACTAATGGGCAGCTGACTGCATGCATTCCTGTCTGTGTATACGTGTCTGCCTCCATCCTTGGTTCTGTAATTGGGTGTTATGTTTGTTTGTACGTGTACGCGTGCATGTGTGCGTGTGTGCGCATGTACGTGTCCTCGTGTGCGTCTGCTGTGTCTTAGTGTTAAAAAGGATTGGTCAGCACTATAGTTTATGCTGACTCTTCGAAAGACTCATGCTCAAAGTGTAAAGCTAGTTTATATTTCACACAGGTCCTCATTTCTTAACTTGCTCGCAAGTCCCAATTCACGAAATAGAATCCACTGTGATGGTGGGCGACATAAATGAGCCAAAAATCTACGTCCATTTTCCCTCAAAAATTTTTGATTTACGCGGAGTTCTGATGCAATTTCCCCGCTGCAGCGCTCTAAAAATGTCTGCCTTCTTCCACCCTTTGCAGTATACGTAGGAAGGCTCGTACACGCTCATACTTACGGTTGACATGTTAATTTTTGTCACACCAGTGAATACACCTGGGATAAGCTCTGTGATATCTGAAACTGCAAATGTGCGTGTGTTAGTGTGTACTGAAAGTGACACAAATTTTTTGTGACACATACATGAAGTTAAATTATAAAAAGACCAGTGATATCAATCCACTGCGAATCATTTAGCCCCTTAATGAATTTAACGATTTTGACTGGAAAAAGTCCGCTGCATAATCCCAAACGCACAGCTTTCGACGCAAAAAATACATTTAGGTTTTACTTTACACTTCAAGGCACATAGTACTGACAAAAAACAGGACGGGGTCGACTTGCAAACAAAATTATACAAGAGAATTTTTGGAAAAAAATGATCCGTACTTACAATAACACACCAAAGAGAGTGGTATGTTGTTATAAGTACAGA